CCCCCCCTCTCCCCCCCCCCCCCCCCCCCCCCCTCCCCCCCCCCCCCCCCCCCCCCCCCCCTTCTCTCCACGTCAACAGTGGAATCCAGCTCCGCAAAGCGGATCTTAAAAAAAAAAATAATGTAAAACATAAAAGCAGAAAGGAAATCCTAACCCCAGCTGGGACCTGCGCGTTCTCTATGTACGCACATACATTTTCTCTCTGGACGAATATATATTTCTGCATACTTGACGAAAAAAATATACCTTCATATCCGTTGGTTTCTTCGTACGGTAAAGCTATTGCGGTTAGGGTTAGGTTTAGGATGTGGTAATGGAATGCCGGAGGGGGGGTGGTGGACGTGGCCGGTGGAGACGATGACGGGAGGCCGATGTCAGCAGCGGCGGAATATGACGGTGGCGATGGGTTGCGGGGTCCAAGAGAAACCATGCCCAATATCTAGGGTTTCTTCTAAGTCCCCAACCAAAACGCCCTCGAATCTCGAGAAAATTACTCCAATTACCATTGATTTCTATATACAGGCCAAAAAAGCTCTATCCAAGCGTTCGCCCTTCGATTCCGAGGATGTCCAGGTTTCCACTGTCCTCAGTCTTCCCAGTGGGTTGGCCAGCTGGTTGTCGAAGTATTCCGATGGTCGGAAACTGCAGAAGAAGTCGCATTCGGGATCGGAAAAGAAGGGGTCGACGCCCAATGGGTCTGAGAAAGTCCGTGGATCAAACATTTGGGTTGAGACCGAAGAGTATTTCAGAGAATTAACTGTGGATGATATTGAAAAATTGTGTGAGGTATCAAAAATCGGGTTTTCGGGTACTGAGAAGTGTTTTCGAATTCCGTCACGGGGAAATGAAAGCAGTGTTCGAGATTACACGTGCAATGGTCACATTGCAGACAACCCCAGTGGTGTTAGTGGAAATGGGGTTGAATTGGATTCCAGGGTCGGTGTGAAAGGAGAGGCTGAAGAGGAAAGTGAGCAGTTTATGGAAGTTGATACTGTAGGAGCTAATGAATTGGTTCAACAAGATAAGGGTAGTTCTTTGCCTCAATCATCGGTGCCTTGTAGTGGTTTCGAATGGTTATTAGGTTCTAGGAGTAAGATTTATCTCGCCTCAGAGCGGCCTAATAAGAGACGGAAGCTTTTAGGTGGGCATGCAGGGTTAGATAAACTACTGGTTGCTTGTCCAGTTACAGGGTCATCTTCTTTATGCCATTATTGTAGTTTGGGTGACATGGGCGACCAGTTAAACCGGATTATTGTTTGTAATTCTTGTGGTGTGGCAGTTCATTGGAGATGTTATGGTGTGCATGATGATGTGGATGGTTCTTGGTTATGTTGTTGGTGTAAGCGGAGGAAAGAGGTTCTAGCTAGTGATAGGCCTTGTTTACTTTGCCCTAACCAGGGTGGTGCTTTGAAACCTGTTCGGAAGAGGGGTTTTGGAAGTGAAAATGGCGGGTCAGTGGAGTTTGCTCACTTGTTTTGTTGTCAGTGGATGCCTGAGGTCTATGTAGAGGATACTAGGACAATGGAGCCGATTGTAAATCTTGAAGGAATGAAAGAAACTCGGAAAAAATTAATTTGTTATTTATGCAAGGTGAAGTGGGGTGCCTGTGTTCGGTGCTGTGACGGTATGTTTTGTTGCTTATTTTACACCACTCTGCACTTTTGTTGGATGGTACACCAGGACAGCATTTTAGTAATTGAAGTCAATTGTTACTTAACATTATGCTGTTTCTAAAGTATAGTGTTGTACCTTGACGGCTTTGATTTTATGTTTGACTTCTGTATATTCCCTGCGGAGCCGGTGGACTAGGTCGCTCCTTATCCGTTGAACTGTNGTCTTTGATTTTATGTTTGACTTCTGTATATTCCCTGCGGAGCCGGTGGACTAGGTCGCTCCTTATCCGTTGAACTCTATTTTAATCTTACAACAAATGTAAATGGAATGAATGCATAAAATTTCTGTTTGTTCCCTCCCTTTATCGTTTCCTATCTCTATAGATTTTTAAAGCATAATAGTCTAAATGAACTTGCTATAAAATTANAATGCATAAAATTTCTGTTTGTTCCCTCCCTTTATCGTTTCCTATCTCTATAGATTTTTAAAGCATAATAGTCTAAATGAACTTGCTATAAAATTAAGTTGTATTGTTCTATCTAAGTGGTTTGTATAATGAGGGGTGTGTGAAATTGGTAATATATTTGAGTGTTTAAATATAGTATTTAAGTAGAGTTGGATGATCCTTTTCCTGCCTTTATTTTTGTTGCCAGAAGTGTGGCTTGGACTTTTTTATTTATTAATAGCATGCATCAGCAGTGCGTGCTTGGAAATATGAGTGGAGGGATTTTGTAGGAACAAAGTGTCCCACTATCTCACATTTCTTTCAGCATGTAGGTTATGTTTGCTGCAACTTTTTAGAAGCCAAAGCAGCTTCTTTAAAGACAATTTTTGACACACTTGGAGAACTTCAGAGATGTTACAGATGGTGCATACTTTTCTCATGCAAAAACGAAATTCCTAAGACAAGCCCTTCCTAGATGAGCAATGCTAGTGGTACCTAATTTGAAGACATGATATAGTGTGACTTTGGATTAAGAATGGGTCCCCGTATTTAATGAAGTCCACTATCAATTCAATACTCATAATGCATTAGGTCCCCAAAATAAATGAAGCATTTCAAAGGCATTTTCACCATATGCAACTGTTTAGACCAGTGTTTCAATAATGAAGGAATTATGGAGGGCCCGGTGCAAGAAAAATTGCTCTAAAAGATCCAATTTTGATGAACAAGACTATTAGCAAAACTAAGTTGCTTTTATAGGAAGTTAGGAGGAGAGGAGAGCTTAGTGTCTTGATCATTGAGGTTATGGAAGGAATTTGAGCATGAATGTTGGAATTATCCTTTTGGAACATGTTGCTGAGGAAAAATGATTGCAAAAAATGGTGCATCTCTTGAGGTGACCTTCAAAACTGTTCCGGCTCAAGGCCTCATTCTTGGCATGTAAATGCCCAAAATAAGTTTGTTGAGCTGCTCAGGATTAGCTGTCATTTATTTTACAACCCATGCTTGACCATAGACACATTCTTTACAGCCTCTTTATCGTGTCAGCCTTAGTGAATAGATTACAACCCTCATCAACCTTACAAGAAACTTGAGCCTCCTGTCTTTGCTTCACCAGAGTAACCAGTAGATGTCTGCAGATCACTTGAAACACCAATTTCTGCATGAGTCTTTAGAAGTTCATTTCACAGATTTATCATTTTTTCTTCATTTGACTAAATATAAAGTTGAAGATGGATCTAAAGTTCTATTTTTGGAGGATACATGGATGGGGGGGGGCCCATATGTTCATAATATCTTTCCCCGTATTTATCGTTATACCTCACTACATGTGGCTCCTATTTTCTCTTTTCTTGTCGTGGGATGGGTTTATGTTCTTGATATTTTTATTTCTTTAGGCATCTTAATGATAAGGAAGCAATTGATTTGATTTTTTTGCTTCACATTCTCAATGACTTTCAACATTTTTCTTCTCATGATAGTAAAATATGGACAATAGATAAATTTAAGATTTTCTCATGCAAATCCTTATATTCACATCATAGTAGCCCCAGAAAAAGTGACTCTTTCTCTTTAACCAAATATATTTCGGAAAGCCAAAGTTCCCTAAAAAATTAAGGCTTTTGTTTGGACTATTGTCCTTAATCGGGTTAACACTAACTAACAATTTGTTGTAGGTGCAGAAGCCCTATAAAACATGGAGCCCTAATATTTGTCTTACTTGTTAGTAGTAGAGAATTGAATGTTCATTTATTTTATTCACCGTAGTTTTGCATGGAGTTTGTGGAATGCATTATTCAAGTTGATTGGTGAGGCTTGACTTTGCCTTTTTATAGGGGGAGCAAATGTTGCAGATTAAGTATTGGGGTTTTGGAAAGAAAAAGGAATCCAAAGTACCAGGCATTGTACGTTCATGACAATTCTTTGGTGTATTTAGATGTAGAGAAATGTTAGAATTTTCAAAAATTGTACTCTTCCTTTCCAATTAGTGTGAGAACGATTGGTTTTTATGGCTTTACTTTGAACCAAAGCCATGGGAAGTTTTAGAGGGTTGCCTTTGTCGGAATTGGATGACGGCTTGACTTTAGTTTTATTTTCTCCTTTTTTGTTGTCCTTTTTTCCTTTGTTTTTTTTTCCTTTACTCATTTCTGACGACATCTTGTCCTCGACATTGTATTTTGCTCTTTATTCCTTTCTATAATAAAATTCTTTTTTTATCAAAAAAATAATAAAATTTTGAAATTAAAGTAACACATGCAAGTGTGTTGTTGAAGTTCCAGAGCATCCAGCTAATTTAGTTGAAAGCTTAGGAATTGGTACATATGCAAGCAACCACCCTGCCGATTATGCGCAATTCCCTGGATTTACTATAGTGGGTACCACTAGGTCTTTGGTTGGATGACAGTTTGGGACATTTTTATTTTCTCGTTCCATCTTGAAGCCATCTACCAGATCATGGGCTAAGCCTTTTAACTGGATTAAATCAGCATCAGGGGCCAACAGCTTGCAAAATGGTGAGCATCCTTCATTCTAATGCCGCCGTCTAGCTTAACCTTTATTCTTTTTAATCACACTATTGAAGTCTTTAGTCTACTCTATTCACCCTGCTTTAATGGAATAGTCGTAGTGCCCTATTTCATCTGATCCTATGTAGGGTCTGCATCCTGACTCTCCGCCTCCAATATTTCAGTTCTATCTCATTTTGATTGAATTATTTGATATGATATGTATACTTTAGGAAATGTCAAAATGAAAAAAATCCAACGAAAAATTGGTGTTAGGATAACTTTTCATATTAGCACATCAAAAAATTCTGTGCTTCAGACAATTCTGAGGGATGACATTTAGGATGATTCTTTCAAATTGTTGAAGATTCTTTCAATAGTTCTTCAGTCCAACCTGTTGCAAGGTGTTTTTTAAATCAAATGTAATTATGGGTTCGAATGCTTGAACCAGGTACAGTGTTCAAGTTTGACATCAAGTCATTAATTTGAAGTTCTTATCCAAAAAAAAAAAAAATAATAATCATAATTTGAACTTTTTGAAGTGAAGTAGAAGTTGAATTAATTCATTATGGTCATGGGGAGCTTCCCTTTTTTTAAACATGGGAACAATGTGATAGTATGATTGTACATATTTTTATGCTTGCAGAAAGCCATAAATGCAAAATGTCAATTCTGCATTACTAGAATTCAATCGAGGGTTAAGGTGTGAGTTTTTCGGTTGAGATTGGGGGATGATATGGTTTGTATTTGATGATGGCATCAAGGATCTTATCCCTATATGACGGAGGGAATAGATATTGTCAGAAATTTACTCAGTTTTAACTTTTAACAAGTTTCAAAATCCTTGCTGGAACATTCCGCAATGGTTTCTTTTCTTCTTGCTTCATGTTTTTTGGTAGTTAATTTTCTGGCTTGGAAGTAGATTCAGGATGAGGATAACTTAATAATGATTTGGCAGGAAAAATGGTGGTGCTTAATTTTACTTCATACATTATGTTTTCATTTTCAATTTATTTGGATGGGATTGACAGTTACACTGGGAGCACGCTGAAGAGATTTGTGGAAAGGGCATATACTATGATTTGTAGAAATCAAAATCCTTGTCTTGGTGTTTCTTATTTTACAAAGGCAAAATAGCATCATTAGTACACCATATTAAATAAGCATTTAACTAGAAAATCTTTAGGAGTAAGGATGTAATCCTGTCTTTTTTTTTGCGCACTCAAGCTTGAAGATAAGGTTGTAGGAAACCAGGATTGGGGCAGTTGCCAGAAATGGATTAAGTGAAACATGTCTTGTGAATACAGTGAATAGTTTTTGATGTGTAATGTTGAGGAAAATTCTGGGTATTTTTTTTTTCATTTGCTTCAGTTTCTTTGAGATATATATGGAAAACAATGTGCACTGAACAAAATTTGCAACTATGGCCTTTTTGGCATGGTTGGATGAAATGAATTATATCAAATAAGTCTTCTCAAAAGTGAATAGTTGTTGCTGCGGAAAATTGATGAAAGTTCTGGGTGGTTTTTTTCAGTTGCGTCAGTATCTTTGGGGTAGATACAAAAGAACAAAAGACGTAAATTTTCTTATATAGCTAAAGAGATTTTCATTGGTGTTTTAAGAAACTGAACCAAACTTATTTTCAGTCATGTTTTTGACTATTCCTGCAATAGAGATCTGATTGAAAATCCTTTAAAAAGGCAAGTACCTCTTTTATTCCCTTGCTGAAGGGTGGTTTTACTTTTCCATTTTCCGGGTTGCAATGTTCATGGATCGGTGAATTTCAATATCAAAGTGGCCATTCCTTTCAGTGTACTGGTGAGGGTGAATATTATTTCTTTCTGAGGGAAAATTCTCTGCCATGAGCCATAATTTGTTTGTAGTTGCTTGTTATGATTTTAAATGGGCTTTACCACTTTTTAGTTCCGGTTATTTGAAGCTTTAGATTTCACAAATAGTGTCTTCTACTCTTCTTTCTACTGTTGTCATGCACACTTTTGATATACTAACAGTGCTGATTGTGATGCTTGCCTAGGGGGCCATTAATTTCTGAATTTGGCTTCAATAATTTTCTGAAGTATGTTTACATTGTCTTTGTGGAATTCTCTAATATATAACATGCTGTGTCTTGCTCTGGTAGACTACAGTTTCTATTTTCTACTCATCTCTTTTATATGGGAGGAAAAGAGTATTACTATATATTTCTCTAGGCTGTTCACTGTTGACAAGTTTTGTGTTTTGGTCTCTGTTTAGGAGCTTGCAGAACTTCTTTCCATCCTCTATGTGCTAGGGAAGCAAGACATAGAATGGAGATATGGGGCAAATTTGGATATGGTGATGTAAGCTTCACCCCTACCCCTCATAAATTTCCTTGAGTTGGTTGAAAAGAGTTTATAGTACTAGTAATATTGTGTTATCGCTATTTTTCCGTTTTTCTCTATTCCAAAATCATTATAGGTTGAGCTAGGCGCGTTTTGCTCAAAGCACTCGGATGCCCAGAATAATTGCAGCACCCAACAAGTAGGGGAACTGTCTGCAGCAAATGGTTTTGATTCCTGCATGTCTGAACAGCGGCTAACAGTATCAACTGTGAACAAACCACCTAAGTTAAGGATTGGCCGAAGACGTGGAGATACAAATGCTGTCCACGGTGAAACAACAGAAAATGACTTGGATAAGTTGGGCAGGAGCATATTACCTGAGGATGGGTTGTCAGATACCAGTTCAAATTCCAAACTTGGGCGAGAATATAGTGATGCTCAGGAACCTGGTAGCATGGATATGTTAGTTAGGGACAGAAGTGAAGACGTTAACATATCTGAGACTCTAAACTTCATGTTGATTCTGAAGAAGGTGCAGTGAAAATATTCATTGATGTTTCAACGTTTCCTTCTTTGCCTGAAGTGTTATTTGAAAATTTTTTTGTATGTAACTTTTATATTTGTCGACTCTGTAGTTAATTGATCGAAGAAAAGTCAACATGAAAGATGTGGCGTCAGAGATTGGTGTCTCTCCTGGTTCATTGGCCTCAGTGCTCACTGTAATACTTTTTTATTGACTTTGTCATCTCTAGTTAGCTTCTGAACAGAATAGTTAATGCTTGACATGCATCAATATCTGTAACTACAAACCTTTTTTCTTTTTGTTTTATGCAATTTGCTTACTTCCTGCAGGAGGAATGCATGGCCCCTGATTTGCATTGCAAAGTAGTTGATTGGCTTATAAATCATGCTTATATTGGCAGTTCATTCAAAAATCTGAAATTTAAAATTAAATCCACAATCACATGCAAAGCTGAAATAGGATTTGCTCATGATAGTGAAGCTGTTGCAGTATCAGAATCTGATATCCCTGATGTGGTTTCTGTTAAGTCAGTACCACCTAGGAGGAGAACCAAAGGCAACATTAGAATTTTAAATGATGAAAAGGTTACATGTTCATCTAAGGAAATTATTAGCAATGATGGGCTGGTGATTGATGAGGCTCACAGTGGCCACTTTTTCAGAGAAGATTTGGCTTATCCAAGTAAGGACTTTGTTGCTGATTTCACTGAGAAGGTAATCACATTGTTTGATCTCTTGTCAGCTTTTTATTAGTGAGTTCAATAGCTTATTTCTACAGATGAATTGTTGGATCATTAATCATGTGGGTAGGAAAATGAATCAAATTTTAATTTCTTTGGGTCAACGTGTTTGAAATAACTTACTTTAAATATATACTCTGATCAAAGCAGTTATGTGAAAGTGAGAGCATCATTGTAGATGATTGAGAGTAGGACAAGAGCAATGAATGAATTCTGGCGAATAGAATACCTAATTGCATTCTTCGTTGGATTTTTTTTGGTTGATTTGTTCTAATGACATCCTTCTTCCACTTTCTTCTCTCTTTGTGGATATCTGTAGGAGATAATATATGTTATTGATATCTTTTTTCTTCATAATGTTATGTTCTATTGACAAGAAAGGTCTTAATATTTTGTGGTTTCATCCATCACAGCAGGCCTTCCATTTTTTAGGCTTTTGTCCCTGTTGAGGATTTTGTGGTGCTAGCACCAACAGCGTTAATACTTATCCGGAATAGTATCACAGGATAACTAATACTCGTCCAATAGTTGTCCAAGTGTTTTTCTATGGATGACAATTAATTATATTATGTTTGACTCTGCTTTTTGTTTTTTCAGATGTCAGTTGAGGCTGTTGGTGTCCCGAATAGTTTGCCAATCAATTCTCTTATGTCTGAAGGTGTGCTTTGAGCATCATAGTTTGATCTTCTGATTGCTTGTATTGGTCTAGTTGAAGACATTAACCCTTGCACATTGTCATTTGAGTCATATATGTAATCTTTTAAGCTCGTTAGTCATATTTGGTTTTTAACTGCTAATGTTGTTTATTGCTTCTTGTTGCTTATGTTCATGAAATCGGTCAGATGGAGTTTTTGAGGAAAACCTAAAATGTTCACACCTTTCCCTTGCCTTCCATTAATGGGAAATTGAGCAATTTTGTAGCAATGGCGCTGTTGGTGTCATTAGGTGATATTCGTCCATTAGTTGGTGAAATCTCATGGGTTTTCGTTTTTTTCTAGCCATGTGTATTTTGTTGGAAAATATTTGCGGGAGGAAAATTTATCGAGTAAAGGAATAAATTTTGCTATGGCTAGATGTCACATTTTTTTCCCAAAAGCAAATATTGGCAAGACTCATGAATATACCCCTTTTGATTTTCTTTTTTCTTTTTCGCCCAAAACAACTTGGTTGAAACAAATGGAATGTAATACTTCTTTTCCCACAGTACTGTTTCTGGCTTCTGGTTAAGCTGTTCCATTTTTGTTTTTTTAAAAATTTCTTTCAGATAAGTGAAGCTGTTTTTTTATACTTTGTTTTTAACTTTATGTTGGTTGAACCTTCGAAGTTCAAGTATTCTAATAATGACACAGCAAGGGTGTCTTTTGATCAGTGTGGATGCCAATAACTTGATCAAATAGTGTGCGAATTTGTCAGGAAAAATTGCAGAATAAGTACTTTGTGGTCCTTTAGTCACGCAATTGAATTAAATGGCTGAAAATGATCTCAACAAGGTTTTCGTAATGGTTTGGTGTGGTTTTTTGTACAATTCACTTTACTTTATGCAGAGGTATGATGTCCCATTTCACTGTACTCATACTGTGGGTGATGGCTGATATGGACACTAGAGGCTTGAAAATAATTTGGCAGTTCTGATGAAAGATGAGGTTTACATAGCAAAAAGGAGATTTGTGCATGATGTATAATTCAAGTTCATGTATTTGCCATATTTATAACAATCAGTTGTCTTTGCATGGCAATGATGGCATAAGCCTGTTTGCGATTCTAGGTTGCTTTGTTTTTTCTCGTGTTAGGCTATTCTGGAGGCAGGGGAATTCTTAACACATTGAATGGTGGCGTGGTTATCTTTCTTTCTTTTTTTTTTTTTATCCGATTTGAGGATGTCACCCTATACTTGTCGATATTGGCATCATAATGGAGAACTTGGTCTGGAAACCTCTTAAAGTCGAGAAATGGGAGCATGGATATGCGCACACATAGCATGAATTCAGGTTTTTTTTTTTTTTTTTCTGGTGATGTAAGATGATATTGGGTATAGTAAAAGAATGCTGTCTAATGTTGGTTTCTCGATGGGATTGGGACTGGGTTATTGAAAGCTTGTTGCATTAACAAAACATAAATTATAAAAATTAATGAATATGGCTTTGTAAGGTAATATAAGATACCAAAATTGAACAAAAAAATATGGAAAAACATAATTGAATGAGAATATATATGATTTACAATTTGGTTTGCCAGATTATTTTATGTTTGGGAGGTTGTGGCATTGTAGAAAAGACTTGTTTTGATATTTGGGCATTGTAAAAGAATGCTGTCTAAAGTTGGTTTCTCGATAGGATTGGGACTGGTTTATTGAAAGCTTGTTGCATTAACAAAACAGAAATAATAAAAATTAATGAATATGGATTTTTAAGGTAATATAAGATACCAAAATTGAACAAAAAAATATATGGTAAAACATAATTGAAGGAGAATATATATGATTTACAATTTGGTTTGCTAGATTATTTTATCTTTTATGTTTGAGAAGTTGTGGAAATGTGGAAAAGACTTGGTTTATTTTTATTCATACATCAACACCAGCTTAACCGTGTTCACTTGGTTTATATGATTGACTTCAGTAGCTATAGACGAGGGGACAAAAGTTGGAGCTATACACATACTTTACATTGAATTGCATTTAATTTGATGGACTTCTTACATCTGGTTGCAGCCACTGTGGTGAGTCTACCCTGTCCTAGTGATCCAAACTCATTGTGGTACGCTCTTAGTATTCAGGTAAAATTGTATACTTGGATTGCTTTTTGTTTGTCATCATTCCAATGTTGAGGGAATATCTTTGAAGGTCAGATATAGATTATTCAGACTGATGTTGGCAACGCTAGAAAAATCACAATAATGATGCCTAAAACTGGCTTTTTGGTGGCCCAAGAGGGAAAATTGTTGATGTAGGGTTTTGTAAAGGTGGCAATAGATGTGGGGGTTTTATAGAAGCCAAAAGATCAGAATAGACTTGGCTTTCATTAGCAAACGGGGTTTCAATTTTGGTGGGTAAGGTTCGAAATTTTTTTCTAACAGGTCTGGGAAAGGGCGACAAATTACTGACATAAATTTTCTCTTTTGAGTAGAACTATGATTTTATTTTAATATGTGTCTTATCTAAGCTTGTATTAACACCAAAGTAGTTTGTGGCAAGCCTGACTTCAGTTAACCTTTGCTTGTGGATTAGTTTGTTTTAGTTTCCAATTGCCCTCGTAATTGTGAAGCAGTGTTGTGAATAAAGGGCTCATTTCATTGTTTGCCACCATTTTTGTGATGCTATGGACTAATTTGCGATAAAGGAAATGTTTCCAAAAAAATTTTGGATGTGTCTTTCAGCTTTGATATCAATCTATGGGATTAGGTTAATACTGAGATACTAAAGAATAAGGGAAGAGCAATTTGAGATCGTTTGAAGGGTCAATTTGATATCGTTCATACTGCTGAACATATTCTTTGATAACATTACTTTTGTGGCTTCATAAATGTCTATGTGGACGGTTTTCCTTGTCTTCTTGTAACCAAGGATTAAAATTTTGTTTCGGTGTGTTGTTTCGGTCACCTAGAAAACGGAAACATTTCGACGTGTTTTGGAAACATAATGAAAAAATAAAAAATTTAAAAATTATTTTTTTAAAACATTGATTGAAATATATTGAAATATCTTGAAACATTCCGAAATAATTGTGCAAATGTATTGAAATATTATAAAACATCTCGAAATATTATGAAATACCTTGAAATATTAAAATTTTGATTCCATTAATGTTTCATTTCGGCCTCCTTGAAAACAGAAACGTTTCGGACGTTTTGACTGTTTCGAAACGATATTTAGATCCTTGCTTGTAACTACATATTTGTTGGGTTGGATCCTTTGGGTTTTTTTTAGTTGATTTTTCTTATTAAATGGAAATCAACACCCATTGGAGTAATGTTTTGTACAATTGGTTTTGCGGGGCTGAGAGTATGGACTGGTGGTTGATTTAGCTTAAAGGGGGTGAAAGTTTTTGACTTCATAGATGTAGAGAGTTAGAAAAGGTTCTTTGAAAGGTGATGCTGTGCTGGAATTGTAGATTTTTTGCTGCTGGAAATTTGATTTTTCCGTATAGGACTCCCCTTCCCCCTGACTCCAACCAAAAAAAACAAAAAACCGAAAAGAACCTTGTTTCTCCTCTGTGAGATAGGGTAGTGAGAGCATTTGAATTTCTCTAGGTTTAATAACCTGCATATTGCATACAAGGATCAGTATATGTACTGCAGCATGAAGATTGAGGAGATCATGTATATCTCAGGTTTTGCTTCAATTTGTTCAGCATAGTAAATTAATTGTGGAGAATGAGTGTGCTCGATTTTGGGAGGATATATTGATTGGAATTTTAGCTTTTCGAGGAATCTTAGTGGTAGAGAATTTCTTGAATTGTGATTTTTTACTTTCTTTGCTAAACAATTTCTCATTTAATTTTATGTTTGTTGATAGAAGAACCTGGACTGTGGGTCATTCTGGATTGTCTCTTGTAAATCGGTCGTTGAGTCTTTAATTGATATTCCCACCGTTTCAATTTCTGGCGCCTTTGTTGGTATCATTGACCAAGGAGTTCTATGGTTTTCCTTTCTTTTACATTATGTTGGATTGGAGGTTATTTTGTTGCTCATTGTGGTACCTTTTGTTTGGGCTTGGTTTGATGTGCTTCTTTTTCTTTTTTCTCTACTTTTTGATGTACTCTTTTCTTTTATTTTGTATTGATCCTTGGCATGATGTCTTGTCCTCCATGGTATCTCTTTTCTGTAATACTCTATTTTAAAAAAAATTCATTTATCATCAAAAAGAAATAGTGCTATTTTTATGGTCATGAATTAATCTTTTCATGAATAATTATCATTTCAGCAGTCAATCAAATGTCCAGTATCAAACGTCGTCCTTTATTTGCAGTGTGTTTGATTTCCGATACAGCAGCAAGCTTGGTTAGATAAAACTTAAGACATGCTTTTTTACTGCAGATTGTTCTCGTGCTTCATTTTTACCTGTTCCATATTTTGGTCAGGTGATCTAGCCAAACACATAAACCCCTGCTTCTCTGAGGGTGGTCAGGCAGACAACGATGCCATTTCTGAGCAAAGTGCTATCGTGAATTCAGAACACAGGAACCTTAGTTGTTCTGTTGCTATGAATCCAATTCCTAATTTCATGTAAGCTTTGGGAAGCTATCAGCTTTATGTGCTGGGAACCATCTTGCTTTTGTTGTGTGCTCATGAAAATGGTTTTGCATGAATGCTTACCATTGTGTATGTATGTGCAATGCAGCAAATCCGCGGCATCGTCTAGCTTTTACGTCCACCCCCTTATACAATACAAATTGATGCAAATGCAGAAGCGGGTCCTATCAAAGAACACAAATCAAGAGTATGATGGTAAACTCTTTCTGATGCTTCTATGTTGCATGTGTTGAGGTCGTGTGGTTAATTACTTTGTTTGGCAGGTTCAAGGGACAGAGAATCATTGGATAATCCTTCAAGTGTCGGCATCTGTGGTCATCATCAACATTCTACTTCCACTGACCTGAGTTCCAAAGTTGATGTGGTAGATCTAGAACCGTTGGTCAAGGCTAGGAACATGGACATATTAGGACGGTCTCCATTAGATGAAGTGGAAGGGGAACTTATTTTTTGTCAGCATAGGTTACTGTGCAATGCAGTTGCAAGAAAGAGCTTCAGTGGTCTGTTCTTGGCTCTTTGCTCTTTGTTTTTGCATTACAGGCATTCTTTTTTTCTCTTTTGGGTTTTACTCTAAGAAACATGGACACGGGCATAGGCACGGGACATAGATACGACACTATACGGACATACATGCACGATATTTCTCAAAAAACTAGGACACTGATACGTTGTAGACATGTTATAGACTATTGTGTTTTATATATAAAAATTTTTGTATTTATCACAAATATAGTGATAATGATATTTTATTCATAAAAAAATTAGTATTTTATGACAAGTAAATATTATGTCTAGTAATCTAGTGTGAATTTGTAGACTAACATCATAGTAGTCGATAATTATCAATTTTTTTGGAGACGTGTGTTAAGTGCAGAGGATTAACACAATATTAAAGAGTAACAGAGAGGTTAAAACTTAACCTAGCTCTCATACATCACTTATATTTATAGTTAACTCATAATAATAAGAATTATACATACACTCTCTTACTATTAACAATTTGCACATACTATCCTAATATTCTTAACATTCTTCCCTCAAGCTAGACTATATATGTCATATAATTCAAGTTTGGAACAAATCTTTAGATTTCACAAATGGAGTTGTAATCTCTCCAGCTACTATCTTGTCTTGAATGAAGTGACAAATCAACCTCGATATGTTTGGTTCTCTCGTGAAACACCAGATTGACAGCGATATGAATAGCTCCCTGGTTGTCACAGAACAACTGTAAAGGAAGTTGAACTGGAAACCCAATTTTCTGGAGGAAGTGTAGTAGTCAAGTCAACTCACTTGTCGTATGCGCCATTGCCCTATACTCAGCCTTAACACTGGATTTCGTGACCATAGATTATTTTTTACTTTTCCATGAGACAACGTTACTTCCTAAGAAAGTACAATAACCAGTGGTTGATCTCCGATCAGAAGGATAGCCAGTTCAATCAGCATCCAAGAACCCTTCCACTTTAAGATGTCCATTAATTCGATATAACAGTCCAAGTCCAGGAGCACGTTTGAAGTATCGCAGAATATGAGTAACTGCCTCTCAATGTGGTACTCTAGGACACCCAATGAACTGACTTACTATAGTGATTGTATATGAAATATCCGGTCGAGTAATAGTGAGATAATTGAGCTTCCTAACCAGTCTGTGATACCGACCCGGATTCTCAAACAATGCACTATCATTCATCAAAAGTTTCTGATTCGGATCCATAGGAACATCAATAGGCCTACCACCCAGTAAACCTACTTCCTCCAGTATGTCAAGTATATATTTCCTCTGGGATAAACAAATACCCCGTTTAGATCGAGCCACCTCAATATCCAAGAAATATCTGAGTTTTTCAAAACATTAGTATGAAATCGATCCGGCAAGAATATGTTTAACTTGACAATTTCCTCAGAATCATTTCTAGTAATCACAATATCATTTACATAGATCACAAATAGAACATTTCCTGCATTTGTCTGTCTATGAACACAGAATGATCTGTCTGACATCGAAGAAGACCAAACACTAAAACTGCATCTGAAAATTTGCCAAACTATGCCCTCAAAGATTTCTTCAACCGACATACACTCTTACCATACTTCCCCTGAGCAGTAAATTCAGGTGGTTGCTCCATGTATACCTCTTCAACCAAGTCACCATGTAGGAAGACATTCTTAACATCTAACTGAAACAAGGGCCAATCAAGATTAGCAGCTAAAGAATCAGAATACGAACATAGAAAATTTAGGCAACAGGAGAGAAAGTCTCCTTATAATCAACACCATAAGTCTGAGTAAAGTCCTTTGCAACAAGCCGGGCTTTGAGACGCTCCACTGAATTATCCGGGTGAAATTTAACAGTATACACCCAAGAAACCAACAGTTCGTTTACCAAGAGGAAAATGAACAAAATCCCAAGTCTCATTATAATGTAAGGCATTCATCTTCTCCTCCATAGCTTTTTGTCAACTTGGATCAGATAATGCATCCTGTAAATACTCAGGAATAGAGATAGTAGATAATTGAGAAGTAAAACAAGAGAAGACAAGAGACAACACATCATATGAAATAAAATGAGCAATGGGATGATTAGTAACACACGAACGAGTACCTTTTTGAAGAGCAATAGATAAAGAGTCTAAATTACCTGATATACCAGGATCAGAAGGTGGCAAGGAAGATGGTACCGGCACCTCAGTCGATGGGCGAGGACGACGATAGTAGACATGGAGAGGTAAAGTAGATGGTAACATAGTGGGCAGCGGAATATCTAAAGATGAGGAAAGAGGTGGTGGTACAGGAGATAACCCAAAGTCCAGATTTAAAGGTTGAGA